GAGAGAGAGAGAGAGAGAGAGAGAGAGAGAGAGAGAGAGAGAGAGAGAGAGAGAGCTGGGTGAAGCATTCACCAGTTCTCGGGTCTGTCGCAGACTGCTGCATTGCGACACGGAGGAGCCTTACTGCCTCTGCTACATCACATCTCTCCACCTGTCACAAGATTGGTTTCAAAAGACACAATGTTAGGGTGCAAACAACACCATCTTCTCCTCATGGTGCAGCCTTGTCCATTTTCACTGCGCAGGTGAAAAGAAACGGGTAGTCAAAAAAACAACAGCTGCATCATAAGCAGTTATCCCGTCCAGCAACATCGCCGGCAAGCGAAAGCTGTGTGTCTAACGGGCTACTAAGCAAGCACAGGAAAACAACAAAAAAACAAGCACACACTGTTGTCGTCTGGTGAACACAGCTGCAGAGTCTCACCAAGCTGTTGGGGTTGGTTTGGTCTACCGACTCCACTCTTTATCTATCCCCTCTGCTTGCTGTGAGGGTCTCGACCATCGCAAATGAGACGGTTTCCACTGTCCACAAAAGTTGGCTTAAACCGCAAGTACACGGCCCCAGCCTTGCAGAAAGTTTTTGTGGCCAGAAGCAAAACTCTGAGGCGCCGCGCAGCATGGGGCGCCTTTGAGGAAAAAAAGCAGCGGCCTCCGAAGTGGTGCCGGTTCAATGCGGACACCCGCGGGCCGATGTGTGGTGTACTGGTGCTTTAAGCACTCCTCGTTGGTTTCCACATTTCCACACAAGGGTGATTGATGGCTTCTCATCACCACCACCCTTGTTCATCTTGTGCATTGTGCAAGATAAATCCACCTCTGTTTCATCTTGACGGTTACGTTCTCTACGTTGATGCATCTACTTCGTAAAGGAGTAGCCACTAACATTGTGGTATGCATCTGATTTCGCCGAGATTCGAAATCGTGATCTAGTTGTGAACAGTTATGGGTGTTGAATACCATTCAGCGACACAGGGTGCGTACGTGGATGCATCTCCTGTCCGTATGTGGCCACACACATGGACACATACAGACAGGAGGATGAATTTCCTGTCGATGTGAGTGGCCACATAGGGACAACTTGCGTGCCAGGCAAAGCTGAAAGAAGCACGCCTTTTCTGCCACCCACGAGGACAGGATCACTGCCTTCCAGCCAATGGAACGTACAGTCATGATCGCTGCATCTGGACTGGAAGTTAGCTCAAATACAGCTATAACAACCGTACGTTCCATTCGGAGGGGAACACAGCGATAACAATCAGGACAATGGGATCTGTACAATCTGTGCACATGCTGCCCCAAAAAAAAGGAGTCAGGAAAAAAAGGGGGTTAAAAAAAAAGGGCTCTAGATTCTAGAACCATTCTGAGTCTTTCTGACCCCTTTTTTTTTTTTTTTTTTTTTTTTTTTTTCCGCATAGCATGGGTAAAGCAGATCAGTGTGGTTTTCTTCCTTGACAGCTTCACCTTGGTCCTTGACAAGCATGGGACTCTGCATTACCTGGCATCTTCAGCTTCGTCCTTGACAAGCATATGGGGTCCTTGACAGCTTCAGCTTGGTCCTTGATAGAGTCCCATGCTTGTCAAGGACCAAGCTGAAGGTGCGAACCTTCCTTCAGCTTGGTCCTTGACAGTCCCATGCTTGTCAAGGACCAAGCTTGGTCCTCTCTCTCTCTCTCTCTCTCTCTCTCTCTCTCTCTCTCTCTCTCTCTCTCTCTCTCTCTCTCTCTCTCTCTCTCTCTCTGTGTGCACTGTCGGCAGGAAGCAAATCACCTTGTGAAGGAGCCTTCCTGCTCAAGATTGTGGGATAAACGAGTACCTACAAGAATTGAATGTGGAGGTGTGGCAAGCCGAGGTTAGCGACATAGCCTCGGGGGGAAACATGTGGAGGGTGATGATGTTGGTTGGTGGTTGCGCAAGCTTTTGATGACAGTAAGTTTGGGGATATCACAGATACCGAACTTATTATCGACGCAACTAAATGCGAGGGCATCGCAAACCCCCACTGGCATGCACCATAGATTGAAAAATGGTCCAAACTAAAATTTCGATGAAAATAAAGACAAGTTGCAGAAATGTGAGGGCATCACAAACCAGTGCATCCACCCAATGATGCCAAACAAAGATTGGGAAATGGTCCAAATTGACAAATTTTGATTAACAAAAAAAAAAAAAAAAAAAAAAAAAAAAAAAAGGGCACGCACCTGAAGAGAAAATCTCATTCTTGCAAGAGCCTCGGAAACGCGAACCAGACTCTCAAGCTGACGTGGCGTCGCAGTGATGATCTACAGATGCACACCAACATTAAAAAAAAAAAAAAAGAGATCGGAGACGAAAGTTATGGCGATTAGAATTTAGAACACGTTTTTTTTCTGCAGGTTGAGAGCTCAAATCCCTGTGATTAGAACACTCATTTGTTTTCACTTAGAACACTCATTTGTTTCCACTTGCAAGTTTCCAGCCTCTTTTTCACATCACTGCAGCAGCAACGGCGATATATAAAATTATAAATGCCACAGTTGGCTGAGTGGTACACAGTGCACCACACCTAAAAAGTTACAAGTGATAAATAGTCAAAAGTACTAAAAACTAAACAGTGAATACAGGTAGAGAGTTCAAATCCTGACCAAAACAAAGTAGTTGAGGGCCAGCCACCTTGAAAAGCAAATGCTATAGACGGTAGCGGTGTAGGGGTAATGGGAAGAAGGTGAAAAGGGGCGGCAATGCAGAAAATTGGGACGAGAAAAGGTGGAACCACCAAGACCATGGTCGAAAATAAGTGCAGGCGGCAATACCAAAGTTGCTGGGAGAGTACAGACTTACAACCAGAACCGCAAAGAGGATGAAGAGGATGAAGAAGAGGATGACGAAGACAGTGAGGAAGACCATCCGTATGGGCCTCGGGGGGGTCGTACGGTGGGACCGCTACTGGGCGACTCTTTGTAAGAAAGAAAAGAGTCCCATGTAGGATAAACGGCTGTTTGCAGAGAATGGAGGTGCAAGAAAGAATGGGGGGAGAGAGAGAGAGAGAGAGAGAGAGAGAGAGAGAGAGAGAGAGAGAGAGAGAGAGAGAGAGAGAGAGAGAGAGAGAGAGAATGGAGGTGCAAGAAAGATATAATTTTGGCACACAGGATTCCAAGCACCTCCCTTTTACGCAGACGGACAAGTGGGGCCGAGAGTGGACACAATAGAAGGAGAAGGGCACTTTGATTGGTCTTTCCAAACGCGACATGAGGATGGGCGTGTTCGCATAAGCACCTTCCTGTTTCCCCCCATTCGCCGCATCTCCACATAGGCATTTATGAGGTCTTCGGCAGCATCATCTCCGATCTCCGGGTGGATGTGTTGACGAGCGTGAGAAATATATCGGGTAAGTGTCTGTAGATCCAGAGTGTCCACCTCTCGCACCTGCAACGACGACAAAAGTGGCTTAACATCAGCAAAAAACTAAATCCACCTCAAAGTCTAAAAGCTTCACAGACGGATGACAGATACCCAGTCCACGTGGGCTGAGTGGTACGCAGCGCACTACACACACATGTAACTGCTAGTAAACAGAACACGAGTTCAAATCCTGATGGAATCAGATGAACACAACAAAGCAAAGGGATTCCTCCTCAGGACAGCTCTACACAAAAAAAAGAGAAAAATAAAATTTAGAAAAAAGGAAAAAAAACAAACAAAGCTTCACAGACAGGTCACAGATACCCAGGCAATGTTGCTGAGCAGCAGCGTTGCATAGCTCCCAACCTACCCCGACTCCCGACCATTTTGCAGTGGACCAGTATGGCCGACCGGTCAATGACCAGTCAGAAAACAGTCATCCACTGGTTTTTTTCCACATTCGAGTTGGGGGCTGTACTGCCCTTGCTGAGT